AATTGGAATATGAGGTGAAATTTATTTAATTAATGATCCTTCAAACAACCGAATTTGTTTTCATTGAATTAATCCTATTTTTTATTAAATTGTAATGTTTCATTTCCAAAGAAGCCTGTTGATCATCTACCAGTTGTAAAACAAATCCAGCAGAAAATCTGTTGTATAATTAATCTATCTATATCATAATTCAAAGAAAAGAAGTTCAAACATACTAAGTCAAGATTGTTAAAACAAATACTAACAGGTATTGGGTTTCTTTTGAATAATATTAACCAACTGCTCTGTATTTATGTCCCTCCATATTGTGTCCAGTTTGCTCTAAAGGTCTGACAATAAAGAAAAGCAGAAAGTAATATATTTAAATTGTGTTGAATATATATTTTAACAAACAGATAGTAAATTTCATGCCTTTTTAACACATATTCTTGAATGTATAAAGCCATGAACACAAGCATACTGAAGTTATTAAACAACTAAGAATTTATTCATGGATTCCCATTTTTTAGCACTTGACACATATGTAACAGAAAGTAACTCCCCCAAAATACTTAAAACTGCAAGGGATCATTTTAAAACATATCCTATAATGCCTCAAATAAACATTGCCTTTCTCAGTTTTGTGTCTGTAGCTTTAATTTATGTTTTTCATTGACAAGACTTTTTGTTGTTAAGTTTAACCTTTGTTAGCTAGTAACTTATTTTGATGGGTCATATCCATTATAGCATTTCAAGTGTGTTGTATGAAGTAAAGGTTCCAATACTAATGAATCTTATTTTTCTGCTAGATATATATATATATAGAAAGAGAGAGAGAAAAGAAAAACAACTGCAGATATGTAGTTAGGACAGTTAATGTGAGTGAGCTTTGGTGAGAATACAAACTTGTTCATCAGTTACAATAGAACATATGAACAATTATGTAATAACTTGTATGAGAAGAGCTGCTAATATTCTACAGTGATACTTATAATAAACAATAAGTAGTCTTATGAGTAACAGACAAACTACAAACATTTTCTATGACTACTCTGCCCTAGGTCATCAGTTACGTACCATTGCTGCTAGTGGTGTTTTCGGCCCTTAACTCAAGAACACCTGATGTGGTTGGGCCTACTTACTAATATTGTAAGCAATAAAGCAGAACTCACTTTTAAAGCTTGTAGCATGCCTATCACATTTAGCCAATGTAGTTAGTGCTATTTAATAAAGTTGATGTTCAATATTAATCTTGCTAATTCTATAATTAAAGTACATATTGAATTATTTAAATTTAATACTGTAAAGTTCTACAAATTACAGACACTTAATCAAACATGCATCTTATTTAGTATGTGACAAGTTCTAGCTAGATGTCCACAGAACAATAGCACAGCCTCTCTGAATCTATCAATATGTTTGAGGGTAATGAAAGTTATTCATATCCTGTAGCAACATTAATTATATGATTAGTACTAAAACAATGACTACACCAAACATTACTTTTGTGGAACTGAATAAAATGATAATCTTGAAAGGTTAAATGCTTAAGTATGTGTCAGAGTATATATGTCCAAGATGAAGAAGGTTGTTTAGATTCAGTATTGACTATTCTAATTATGCACTTGATACTGATTATGTAATTTAGATTATTTATATTTAATCAATGACCACATTGTGGAACTTAATAAAATTACAACTTTGAAAGTTAGAATTGTTAGGTTGTGCTAGATTATGTAAGGGAAGGATAAAGAAAGTTATGCATTATCTGAAGTTATTATGTCAATTTATGAGATCAATTTTAGTAATATCCATCTTGAAGATTGTATAAAAAGTAGTAAAATTGTCAGTGTTATAAATTTTCATTAAAATCAGTTGTTACTTACTGCAAAATTTAATATAGCTATGTGAGTGACCTTTCTAAAGCAAATTTGCCCAACTTTGAGCCTTGTAAGTGGTGGGCGGGCTTTTGAAGAGAACCAACCATGGGTGACCAATTCTTAAAAGTGGACAGGCCATTTAAGAGAACTTGGCATAGAAGTTGAGGAAAGTCAGAGATAACAGATATAGTTTTAATTATCTTTGGTGTGATAAAGAATTAAGATTTGTATAGGAGTATGTAAGGTTAGAATAAAGAATGTTATTTATATCCTGACTATATAAAATATGTGATTTATAATTAATCAACAACTACACTGTGGTAAACAACTGATCCAGCATAACTTATGCTGAAGTAGATTAAAATGATAAATTTGAAAACTAAAATGGTTAGGTTTGCATTAGATTATGTAAGGCAAGGATGAAGAAAGTTATGCATAATCAGTAGCTGTTATATATAATCAATTTTTATACATGTAATATCCTTATTGAGGATTCTATGATAAGTAGCAAAATCTTTGATGTTATACACTAGTTAAAACAAATGGTACAAACTACAAAATTGAAAAAATGTTATTCATTATTGAACTGGCTTATGCTAATTGAAGGGGACATGATTTCTGTTGATTTAAGTCAGTACACTATTCTTAGTGTCTTTATGACAATCCACAACTGAACTTTCAGTCAAGCATGACATGTGTATAAGTAGAAGTATTGGCTCTTCTTGGATTGTTATAACCCAGTTCGGATTAGAATTCAAATCAAATTCGACTAAAAATGAATGAAAGAATAAAAACCTCAACTTGTATTAACCATGAAACTTTTACTGAATAAAGTGAATGCAAAAACAAAATTTACGAAGATAGAAAGTAATAAATACTCTCAGAAATAGTTGATCATTATCAGAACAACAAGCATGATCACCAAAGTTGCTTTTGGGTTTAGTTTTACACAAAATTTGGTATTTAAAAAAAAAAAAATTCTTCATCATTGGTTAGGCAAACCAAATTTGTGGTTCAAAATTGGTCCAATTCTGTAAAAATATTTATGTATTTCTAGAATAGATATGTAATTTTGATTCATTTGAAAAGGGCTCATTTTTGATAAGATGTGAGGGAAAATAAATTATATAACATTATAAGCCTACCTTACTTTAAGCATTCAAGCTGTTGAGTATAGTGACTTGTTCCTACTGAATACTCAGAGTTTTCATGTAAGAGTGTATATGATGAAACTTCAGAAATAGATGTTTTCATCATCTTATGTTATACAAATGCTTCAACTATGTATTTTTTTGCCTGCCTTATGGTGGGTTCATACTCTCTTTCCTTATAAATTTTATATATTATAACATTGCAAACCCTTTTTTAAGCCAAACAAGAGGGAATCCCCAATAGCTGTACCACTTAAAGTTTTTTTAGGCAGGATTAAAGGAAATTAATTTATGAGACTTTTTGTTTTTCCTTTTAATTTGCTATATTCTTTGTGCACCGGCAATACCAAGCATGGAGTGCGTGTATACTGAATTTGATTTTATTACTCATCCGGATGTCTACGAGCCTACCCTCAAATTGAAATTCTTTAAGGCAGGTTTAGAGTAAATTAATCAATGAGACCTTGGGCATGGTCAAATTCGTCAATTGAAAGGGTTTGGTCTCCTGAGTCCAATGACATAATTAGATCTGAAATTGGTCAATAGATGATGAAGCTATCAGTTAAAAGTTTTTACTTTAAAAAAACTCGGAGCTATTCTATGAGCCATTATGCTGTTACTAAAAATCATAAACTTTTTGGTAGGAAATGGTACAAAAAATTAAACTGCTAAATAAACAAAATCAAAAACACACATTAGCCAAAAAATGTTTTGAGATGTTGGTAACAAATATAAGAAAATTCATTTTCACTTTGCAGTGAAAGAGACTGAAAACTAGGACTTTTATCATTTCTTTGGTTGGACTAGACATGCCAACTTTCTAGTTTAGTTTTATTGTACAATTTAACTCACTGGTAAGTCTCTCTCTCTTTTTTTTGTTTTTGTTTAGATGTACTAATGTACCTAATGTTTTTAAGTTTTACTTTTTTTCTTCACAAAATCTTCTTCATAGATAATTGTTTAAATTATTAAATGTATAAATGTTATTAAACTAAATTAAGTCATGTATTTCTTTACAGCTTAAGAAATCTAACTGTAGGAGATCCTAAGAATTTCAAGTAAGTAAATAGACATATTTGTAGATGCTTAACATACTAAACCTATTTAGACAAAATTCCTTTTCAACAGATGTTAGTACTTTTGTATTCTCTTAATAATGATATTGATAACATGAAGAGAATCATTTTGTCAGTGAATACACATTGAAACATAAAGCCTCATTATTATCATTATTTATTTGTATAAACAATTTCAATATCTACTTTTTTGAATTTCTGATGTTCATATAAACTGTTATAAACCCTTGTGAAGAAAATTACATGTAAAATCATGCTTAACTTTTTTTCTGTTGTACAGTAGGGTAAGAATATTTGTGTTTAAAGGCTTGCTGAAACATTGAAAATAGTTATCTCATCTGTTTTTTTTTTTGTAAATTTGGATATTGGTATGAATGTATATTGGTTATGTCATGTTAAATATATATATATACATGACACTTATTTTAAAATTGTGGATTTGACATGACCTGTTGTTAGCAAAATAACACTTATTTTTTACTATTCAAAACATCTTTTGGGTAATAAATTTTGATAAAAGAGTTAGCACAAAAGATCATATATAAAGTGTAATAGACTTAAAATAAGACCCAAAACTTGAGTGCTTTTGAATAGTTTCTTTTTAAGGTTTGTAGGTCATTAAAACAGTCATAAGCGGTCGTTGAGTTCTATTTGAGGTCGTTAGTTCCTACATGAAGAATTAGGTATCTTACAGTCTGTGGCAGTAGAGATATAGAGTCTAAAAGGTCAAGTGAAGTGGCTTCACTAATAAATTTATTTAAAACATGTTTGTCTTTAATGTAAGAAAGGTGTTAATACAGGTATTTAATAATGATTATTTTTGGGTAATCAAGTTGAGTTAAGCACTTTTTAACAAACACTTTTTTTTTCTGAATTTCCTTTTCTACTGAAAAGGTTATTAGGTATAGAAGCCTTCCAATGAATCTATGAAAACATGTAAAATCTATGAAGCCTATATTTTGAAAATGATTCTGTTGTTTTTTTTTAATGCGTGTGAAAATGACCTATAAAGCCTATATTTTTACAACTGACCTAAACCATATGTGTTTGTATTTTTATGTTTTTTGCATAAGGTTATGTTAAAGCATGACTTTGGAGAAAATGACAAAGTTCTTCACTGTAACAGTAAACAAAACCTGTAACAAAAGCCTGATAAATTGATCAGTATTATTTAGGAAAACATAAGAAACCTATTCTGGTCTTAATAATATTGTGATTTTCTGTGCTTTTGAATTTGGAAAATTGGTCGTTTGCCAATGAAATTGGGCAGAAAATCTATATTTTTCTGACCAAGCACCTATATTTTTATATTACAACCTACATTTTTAGCCTATGTTTGCATTAGAAATGTACTAGAAGGCATGTTGATCCTCTTCAGCTGAATAACTGTTAAGTTATAAGATTTTACATTTTACTATCTTTTCAATGACTCATTAATAGTAATTAAATTGTTGAGTAATACATAAAACAGTGACATCTTGCACTATTTAATCTTATAATTGGTAATAGTAACAGGTACTGAGTTTGATGATACTGTACAGTAGGCAATGATTAAGATTTGACACACTTTTAATTAGATTATAATTTTTAAACTATATATATATATATATATATAACTCTGTAATAATATATTGTATATATTATTATTCAGTGATTTTAAGTTTTCTAGGTCAGAAATTCTGGGTCTCTTTTATGTGTCATTTCAGCCAAGCTTTTGCATTTTCTTTGATCCAGCTGGTTTGGTTTTGAACAAAAAGTGTATTTGAAATGCTATAAATGTATTTTTATTGCTGAAAACCATGTGTTGAATCATGTACAGACACTTAGAGTGGTTTATGATCTTGTTGTGAATACTTTGCGAGTTGTTAATAATTTATTGATTTACTTAATGATAGCTAAATTGAAAATCTGACATATGTTTATTACTTTAAGAACTCATGTTCGTGGTAAAAAAGGAGCTAGCCTGAACGCTGGAGCTGATCTGCTTCACTAGTAAGTATTCAGAATAATTAAAAAAAAAGGAGTAATTGTTTCACTGTGCATACCATCATTACCTAAATGACAACTAGAGGATTTACTTCTGATATATACAAGGTTTTCCTTTTTTTTTACATGTAATCTCATCTAAACTAAACACAATTAACTGTTTTATATAATTTTTTAAACAATTTCCAAGTAATGAATGCTAATTTGAGATTAATATTTCTACAAATCAATACTTTTTAACTTGTCTTACGGCATACTTGCACATCTCATTTAAATACTTTAATATATTTATTCATACAGGATGTTTGTATGCATTGATATAAGACATTATGTATTTCTAGCCAGTTTGTGTTTAGACTTCATGAATTTATATGATACTTTTCAACTCTGATTCATGAAGTTTGCTTACTTTTGATTTTAAGTGTTTAGTAAAATGCAGAATTTTTTTGTCAAATGTACAAAAACAATTCCTACAAAAATATAAAAATTGTTAAGATTAGGAGATCTTTATGAACCGAGTGTAGGAAAGGTTATTCATAGAGATTTAATAATATTTAAAGTGGTTTCGTGTACTTAAGAAAGTATGTTCTACTCTGCAGAAATTTGTAGAGTAACAACATAAGTCTATTTACATGTATGTTATATACTATAATATATAATTCCTGGAAATTAGTAGGAAAGCCTCAATTTTTGACACATGAGAACACTAGAGGCCAATAAGACAGTTGTATAGAAGTGTTCGCTGCAAGACTAATTTGAATACAAGTTTTCTTCTCTCTCCTTCATCACTCTAATACTTTGTTACTGAGTGAAGCATTTGTGTTCTTACTTTTAACCAGGCCCGGCATGGCCAGGTGGATAAGGCGCTCGACTCGCAATCTGAGGGTCTCGGGTTCGAATCCCCGTCCC